TTATATATATATATACATTGAAATTTGTATTGAATTGAAAACGGAAGATTCGATGAGAAATATGTTTAACAGATTGTTCGATCCATTCGGTGTATACATTACACTGTACAGAAATCTTTATTTTCAGTTTGAAATATCTATGTATATTTCAACGTTGTTGCAAATTTCAACAGCGGCGATGCGGTCAGAAATGAATGGGACACCGTGTACTCGTGTTACGTTCGTTTTAGAATGATCGATTAACGACGACTGTTTTAAATGTCCCGTTCTCCCTGTCTCGTGTATGTCGTTCTCCTTTTTTTTGAAAGCTCGTCTTCGGTCATCTAGGATCGTATTCGAATCGCGGAGCGGGTTGAGATTCTTCATTTTACGGTTGATCGATTTTTACTGAGATTAGGATAGTTTAGGTAGTTGTGACGTTTCGTTCGGGAACTACACCGTCCCAGATCGCAATGTTTTTTAACGTTGAAATGTTGCTCCCGTTCATTTCCCGCGGTGTCCGAAACCATGACATCTCGTGCGATGGCTCGAATAAACGATGTCGAAGGTTGTTCTCGTTCATTATACACTCCCGAATTGTTCGAGAGTTTCATCGCGGGAATCCCCACGCGCGCGTCCGTTGCCATTTAAAAGTTTCGGTAATCTAGTAAGGGAATTTATTGGTTGGTAAGATGAATTCAACGCGAAAGTGATGCGAACTGCGTGAATTTTATGGTAAAATATTCGTTCATATGGTAATTACAGTTTTAATTATCCCAATGCTTTCCATCTAATTTTCATTCATCTATGTAAAACACTCGAGGATTTCAGAATTTACGATCAAATTTACAGTTGCGGTACGTTACAATTCTTATAAGATGATTGTTTATATACTATAGCTTATTTTTTTGTGGCACAAATGTGTGAAATAATCTGTTAAGCGGTAAGTATTGAATAAAATGCAAGTAAAATAATATTTAAACAGTTAATATGAAAAATATTATTTTACTACCGCTTCAGTGGCTATTGCTTGAATTAGAATTGGTAACAATTCTATATCAAACTTGCTATTTGGTTATACTTATTTTGCACCGTTATTTTCGTTACTATATAAAAAACTTTAACACATTTTTATACATAAAAATACAGTTTATTATAAAAAGTGTTAACGATTTCTTGGTTTTCAAAATTTCAAATTGTTTGACATTTACCAATTCGTCAATTCGAAACACTTTGAAAAACTATGAGAAAAACATGGATGCATTAAACTGTACAAATCTTTATTCTACCGTTACTCAGACTTTTAATTGGCATTGTACGCGTGAATCATCATTGATTAATCGTTAATTGTTCTTCATACTGAAAGTGTTACTGTTATTTTCAGTGTAGGCGTCTTGCAAAAGTTTTCGCAATCTGTTTGTTATTTCGTCGAAGCGTCTTCCTTAAAGAGCAAGAGTCGACTAAAAAAATAGCAAGGGAATAAGGAAATGAAGAAAAGGTTGATTTTCATTTCGACTAATCTGTTGCCCTTTTTATTGGTTGTTGTATTTGTCGACTGTTTCGCGTCGCGAATCACATGTTTCTATATTTTCTCCTCGAGTAGGAATTCCTCAGTAGACTGCAAATTTTATGCATTTATAGGAGCGCACGCGCGCGCACGTAGAACACAATGAGGCACTAATTTTAGTCGAGAACCACACAATCTTTATCTTACTTTCAACCTAATGAACGCAGGAGAATAAAAGAGAAATCTCTATTTCATCTCGTTTTTACCGATTCAGTGTATAAAACTGTAAACAACCCGCATTAACATTCGCCAGTCCAATTACTAAAGAGACAACTCTCGCCACGACTTCCAAACACGAAAGGTCGTTTTAGACAACACATTAACGCGAGAGTGGCTCTCTCCCACCCCCCGCTTACAAATAAGAACCGCTAATCGTTAATCTGTAAATTATCGTTTCATGCAAAACGCATTACGCTTCTATCGTGCAAGGTGCTTAGCGCGGGGATCGGGCGCACAAAGGGGAAACTAAAAAAGTGGAAACCGTTAAGAAGAGAACAACACTAACGATACCAATTAAGAAAAGATAAAAAAGATCCCAATCTCAATTGCGAAAGAGGCGAGAAGGGAACAACGAGGTCCGAGGGGACAACGGCAAGGAAACGGTAGCCTCGATCCTTTCCGACGCTGTGGTGGAGGGAAATGAAGACGATGTTTTGAGAACGATCCGCGGAAGCCGCTTTCCCAAAGATCGATACGTTCTGTCGACATTAGCAGCCGCCCCCTCGGTTCGCCATTGATTCGAGCGGAGCGCGTAGGCCAGCCTGAAAACGGCGCGCGGCCGAAGGCGAACGAAATTGAACCGGGCGAGGACGGACGGGCACGGCTGACCATCGGAATCGACGCCTGTGTCGTCGTTGCGTTTCAGCTTCCCCCGCTTTTTCCGAGCGAGTTGGGGAACACGCATCCTTTGTAAATAGGCGATTTAAGGTTTACGCAAGTTAGTAGCGCGCAAAATAAAAGAGAAAAGAGAGAAACGATGGAAGCTCTTCATGACAATATCGCACCCCCAAGAAAGATACCCTCTAACCCCCAAACTTGAACACCCTAAAGTCGTAACTAAGTAGCTCCATCGTGTGCAGCCACCGCGATGATCGACTCTCATAAACTCCATTCTATATTTTTGTCTTCGAGATATTGGCTCGCGACGTTTCGCGTGACGATCACCGTCGACCGTTCCCCGCGATTAAGCTCGCGTCGATCTTCCCCTGGCCGCGCGAGAAACGAAAGGAGCTCGGATACAAGGGAGGACTGAGGGATCTCCGCTTTGGCCGAATTCTTTCAATACGCTTATTACAGTTAATAGTGTCCGACAGCTGGTACCACATTGTCGTCGAGAAAGCCTATCTAGTTCATCCGCGCCGATTTTCTCGGCGATCGTTCCCCTGCACATCCATCAGAGCAGTGTTCCCCGATTACAAGTCGCTGGGTCGGGTCTTTTGATGAGCCTATAACGAGGGTACCGCTGTTTCAACGTTCTTTTCATCTCAGTTACCCTAGCGACCGCTCTGTAGTATCCCTACGCGCCGAAGAGCGTTAACGTCCAATTTCCGTCGGACGATCTTGTAACGGGGGAATACTGTAACGGACACACCAATGGAATGATCCTTGCCGACTAGTTCGCACGTGGCAATGTGAATAGCGGCAAAAATCATTTGCTTGCTGTGTATCCGCGATACGCGTGGCTGCTTTCGTTCTCGCGCGAACGGACTGATGTATGGCGAATGTCGGGGAAGATCGATGCTGGCGGTAGTATAAAGTCGGAAGTTAAGGTGTCCCGTGATCGAGGATGGCACGGGGCGGAGGGACCGAATCGTCGTCCGATCGCGCGACGATCGACGAAACGCCGCGGCAATTGAACGCTCTTCCGACTTGTATCTTGTGGCGTGAAATCTAGGCACGATCGCGAACCGGGGATCCAGGCTCGATCGCTGATGGCTTCCGACCTCTCCGCGCGAACGACTGCTCGGTACTTCGTCGATCGATCACGCCCGGGAAACTCGATGAAAGAGGATACCGTGAGCGCTTTTCTGCGAAAAGATTGTTGCCTAATACACGATTTTGACGGTCGACGCGGCGAGCATGGATCCTGCGGTTCATCGTATTTATATATTCATATATATATATGAATATATACATACTTGTTATTTTTCTTCGAACAAAAAGTGAGCGTGTACGTGTGATAACATAGAAAAAAAAGTTAGGAAAGGGGCATGGCAATTCGTCGTGCGGGGAACGAATACACGGACGAGGTGTACATATATACAGGGTGACTCAAAATGTGTGGTATAGTTGGGTGAAAGAAGGATTCTCGTTGACGAGGGAGAGTAAGTGTAAAGTAACGGATTTCGTTTTCACGTTGATTGACTTTAACTCGGTTAATAAACTTTTATCGAGGTACTGTTGTACAGGGTGTCCCAGAAGTTGGCGCAGAGTTTTCTGTATTGTTAGTCATTAAGATAGAAGTGCTTAGCAAATGCGGATCCAGATGTTCGATTTTTAGTTACGTTGTTAATCAAGGATCCAGGAATTATTTTCTTTTTCTTGTCGTTTGTTTCGTCGGAATTCGCGAAATGCGCGGCGAATCACCGCGCACGTGCGCGCGCGTGAACATTGTACTTATTTTACAATGACTGTGTAAGAAGTAATTTTAGGAGTTTTTAAGCATTTGATTGTTTTAACGATGCAATACGCCGATCCCAACTTTCCTCGACACTCTGTGTACAAAGATAATCGCTATCGATAAGTATAATTCTTTTAATTCCTTTCAACCTTGCGAATCACATTTTTGTTCACTTGCTCAATT